ACTGTGGCAGCTACACCATTTTTCACGCTAAACTGAAACGCAGAACGATCACTCCGCACTGAGTGCGTCATGAAATCATTTGGGTCACACTGAACTGCTCAAGAAACTACCAAAGTCGAATTGTCCTCAGTGGAACTTATCAAAATGTGCACAACCGTGAGTAAAGTAAAATAGTGAAAACTTCGTCATAAAATTACACCACCCTATAATCACTAGGCTTAGTATTGGTAATTCAAAATAGGGCTCTGCACAAATAAATAATTAAGATGTGTACAGCCGATGGCCAAACTGGTGGCCAGAGGCAAGACACGCGTAGCATTATTGAACTGAGGTCGCACAGCGGCTCAGGTTCAGGAAAAAAACATGGAGGGGTAAAATGGACGCACGATGATAAGAAACAAGGGATTCCGGTGCTCACGAGAGAAACGAGGGAAATAAATATTTGCCTCAGTAGCCCAACTTTTCTCTGTGACGGCACTCCTGGCCTTTGTATTCCCTACCAAGTCAGCCATTTTTGGTGCAGGTTGGGTTCCTTCTTGTGGGTTTAGGTGAACTCCTTCCAGGAAACTTTTAGGTCCGACCCCATTCCGGCAGCAACACTAGTGATTCTCCTAAGTTTCACTGCACACTGTGATTCTGATTTTCCTACTACCAGTTCCCTCTTTTCACCAACCCCACTTACGCCTTTTCATGGCCCTGGTCATACGCCCGGAAACCTATGACCACAAAGCCCCAGTGGGAGCCCATCGATTGCACAGGGCTCTCAGCTGCAAAACCTTTGAGGGTGGGATGAAACTTTACGCTAAAATATTGCATTTTGTTGCGCATGTGCTCAAGCGGAATACCATCCTACTCTACATCCATATTTTTTCAGCTCACTAAATTTCATTGTCCATCCGGCGGAAATCTGGTGAAATACCTTTCCAGTATTGCTGATACCCTGGAATGCCCAGATGCGTCCCGAAAGATTGAACTCGTACTCCGAACACAGCTGCCTGTCACTTTCAGTCTACCAGCGACACGTCGCAGCTTTCAAAAATTCAATTCCATTGTGTGAATACTGCGAGCCGCCTCATTGGCGGTTTTAGGCTCTAATTCTAATTGGCCGGTCGGATCGTGGCGTCTTTGCTGGCTCTCCAGATCCTTTATTCTGGTTCTACATATTCTGCGGGTGAAGTTTTGTTTTTATCGCGTACCAGGCAGGAAGCGTCTTTCTACGCCCTCCCTCGTGTTGTTTTACCTGCCATTTTCAAATCTTAACAATCGTACATTGTATAGTCTGATACGTTCACCTTAAGAAAGGAAGAGCTCTTGTAATTTTGCTTCCCACCCATACCGCCTCAGGCGTGACAAGTCTACTTCGGAGGATGATCATGCCTGAAGGTACGCCACAAAATAGCCGGGAATAAACAATATTACGATCTTTATTAAGCAGCTATTATCTCTTGCGACACAGGAGCGGAGCCTTTTTACTGTTCACAAGCACTTGTGTACCTTGTTGACTTGAGTCCTCCGTATTCAAACCGTCTACCAGAGCTTCTTAGATGAGTTAAGT